GGTTTTGATGGTTTCATTTCTGGTTCGAAGAGACACAAACTACTGGCAAATAAGGAAAGGAAAAATCTATGTCCCGACTCGCCTAAGGCAGAATGTGTCAGGTTCACAAGCTACACAAAGCATCAGTACAACATGCTGGGATCTCAGCAGAGCACCACCTGTACACCAAGATGAGTACTTTGCCACAACTGCTAGTTGCACCACCTCTGCAGAAAGTCATAGAGGATGAGGCAATGTAGATAAAACTCCACTTAAAACTCAGAGGCCTTCCACACTATTGTGAAACAAGGAGTGCCAGAGAAGTTTATTAAGCAGAAGAACAAGGTTTTGCTTTGGGGCTTCCAAGGCACGCAGCTGGTTTTGAGCCAATTTTTGCCATCTAGAGGTGGTTACTTAATGCCTGCATAATCTAAGCTGGAGGGGATGGAGGCTTACCAACACCTAGCCAGGCAAACTCCCATCCCTGAAGGCTTTATAGTCTGATCCAGACAGGAACAAACAATTAAGAACTTGGTTTCAAAGCAGGAAGTGGACTCAGCAACAGGGAGTGCTAAGCAGATGAAAAAACAATGTGATTTTTATAAGGGATTTAGAGGAGATGAAGTAGATTAGACTGCTGCTCCTGTGCACTAAATATTTGAAATGTGTTGGGAATTAGAAAAAGCACATAAACATACACTATGAAAGGCCAACAGCTGCCAAGCTGCAGCACTTGGCAGCTTCCAGCATGGACTATATAGCACTTAACCTGACTGTGATCACTTAATGCTTTTCTTCTTTACTAAGCTGCATTTTGCAGAAACCTATATCGATCACACCATCATCAGAGAACAGTTGCAAATCATCTTGTAAATGTCAGAGACCAGTCTAAAAGCACCTCAGCAAAGTAGTGACAAATATCTACAGTTAATGGATAGCTGTGATTTTTTTTGTATTCACCTTCTTTTAGAGGTTTACAACAAAGAATGTTACATCCCAATTGTGTTTATGGACATTCTGGATAATAAAAGACTAAAATTAGGTATCTACGACATGGCACAATATCCTTTTCTTACACATAGAAAATACTCATCAGCTGCGCTTAGCTGCAGGGAATTAGCTATCCTATGATTTTCACTTTGTAACCATTTCCAAAGATAATGAACTATTTGTGTTTTAATATACCCAAAAATTTATACTCATTTTGCTGGTACGAATCTGAAGCAATGTCATATCAATGGTATTGGGTCAGCCAGCAGCATCTCTCCTTAGTTATGGGTGAGTAACTACACTGGAACAAATGAGTTAATATTAACTAATTGGCAACAGAAAGATGGTTCTCTTCCAAGTAACTCTAAACAAAGTGATAAAAATCAACGAGATTTAATACCATCCACAATTTCAATTACATTCTAATGTTCCAAAAGTAAATGAAAGGCATTATATGTCAATCCCCATAAATATTTACAGTTATGACTTAGGCAGCCTTGACTCTTCACATCATCCCATGAAAGCACTGAATAGACTGTTACACTAAAAAAGTATAAAAACAGGCTGAAGTTAAAAAATGCAAACTAAACATGGATCCCAACTCAGAGTCTTCTAGTCTATAGCCTAGGGTTACGTTAATTTTGAACCTCCATTGAGGTCTGTGATTTGTCAATCTCCTGTGTATTGTGCTCACAACAAGGCACTATGGCATCCAACTCCACGTTGCAAGTTTTCCTCTCCTGTGCTGCTGGGAAGAGCCATGCTGCTCTGCTGATCCTAGACCTCGCCTTTAGCAACAGAAGGCAGAAGAGTTCGAGCCATGGCAAAGGTTCAACTGTCTAAAGACTTCAGCTTGGACACAGCCAGTTATCCAAGCATCCCAAGATATCCAACTATGCTAACGCTGCTTTGATACTTCCAGTTACATGATCTGGGCTAAAACCACAGATCTTTTTGCTTCAGACAATCTTTGACTAGATATCAGCACGCAAATGGAGGAGGTAGTAGTATTTGCTGGGTGCTGAGCACATTGGTTATAACGTATTTGATACCTCTGGGCCATACTGAACAGCAGCAATATCGGAATTTAGGAAGACAAATGAAGTGCCTCCATGTACAATGACTTCTTGGAGGTGGTACCTGAGATTAAGGGTTCTGTACTGTGCTCCTCTTCAAGCTCTTTCCTCTTTGCTTGTTCACTTTAGACTGATTCTCCATGCACCATAAATAACAAAAAAATTGGAAAAATAACTTGGGGCAATTAGCAGTCCCTGTGCTGGAGGGGAAAATCAGGTACGAAAGACTGAAGTAGATACAGCTTGCTCAGAATAGTCACTTTCTGCTGACTTATGCAGCCTGCTGCATGCTAAAAAATCTCAGACTATAAAGCCAGGATCAATCCTGTCTTCTACTACAAGGCAGAAGCAGCCCAGAAACACAGCAAACCGTGGAGTGACAGCCGATCAGGGCAGGACTGGCACAAGGATTAACACTTTCCTAACCAAATTATACAGCAGGTTTCCTTAAAATAGTTTTTACAGTACAGAGGAAGATACTCTTTCACGTAGTCTAAGGACAGTACACCACCGTCCTTAATATTGCTCTGATCTAGTGAAAAAGAAAACCATAGCACAGACCACTAAGATCTTCCCTTTCCTTCAGCTCTTCTTTGAAAGTGCCCTTCAATCACAAACTGGTGAATCTTCACTTCATCTCCTGCTCTGTGGGATCAAGTCAAAAGGGCAGCTCCTCCACCCTTCCTGGAGAGAGCAGTGCTGCAAAGTCAGCAGTGAGAGCGAGCTGGAGGGCCATCGTGCACTGGGAATTTGTGACCTTCTGGCCCAGGCCTACGAGTTTCACCAACTGAGCCCATGCTCAAATGGACTCTCAGTTAATTTTTCACAGACTTTTCTGAATCAGCAAGCCCCAGCTACAGGTAAAAATACTTAAACCATATCCCCAGGTATATCTTTAGCCTAGTTCATGCAGAGCGCCAAGTGCAGGTTGGGAAACTTTTCTTAACTTCATGAATGCTGATATTCTCAAACTACTGACAGACAGATGATGCCTTTCATGGGCTGCATCATGGTTCTGAGAGTCATGTTTACACAGGGATCAGAAAACACACATACAAAGAATGAAAAATCCAGAACTGGTGCCACCACTTAATACTGCTATGCACACACAACTGTTCAGCAACAGAGTGCGAAACGAGAATACACCTGCAGCATCCTGCTATGATAGCTGTCACACTTTGTCACTCATTGCAACAGTTGCAAACATGATCTTTTTTTTTTATATACTTGTAAAGTCACTGTGCAAAACCATCATAAATCAAAGGCATGCTACATACAGCACAAAAGCTACTTGCTGGTAGCAATACAGCTCAGAATTATTCTTCCATAAGGAAGTGCCAGAACTCACATCTCCTCATTCCTGGCTTGAACTTTACTTCCTTTGTAGCAAAGACTTAACTATTCTCTGCCTTTCCTCAGGAGGCACCCCATGCAAATCCCAAACAACCTTTCTATACCACAGGCACAAAGAACACAGTGTGGGGAGTAGAGAGGCGTGAAGTGTCATGTTTTCAACACTGGGCTTGATCTCTATAAAGCCCACCAGACCCACAGGGACAGCGAGTTCTGAGGGGCATTAAAAACAATGGCAGAGCCAATCTGGAAAGGTCCTGCTAGAAATGGCCGTTTTGAAAGACTCTCAGGAAAAAAAAATATAAAGGGCACTGAGTCAAGGTGAGCTGAGAAGTATGCAACCAGGAAAACTTGCCAATAAAAGGCACTCCTTCAGAACACAATGTTTTGTCTGACTGCTTTATCAGGAAATCAATTTACAACTGCTGCTTATTACTCTGAACGGAAAGTGACAGGAGTGGAAAGGCTTTAAATCAAGGAGAAGAAGAGAGGCAGAGTACAGCAGCCCTCATTCACTGAAGGATTAAACATTTTCTACTTTTGCATTTTAGAGAAATCCAGCCTCTTAGTTTCTTTCCCTCTGGGTGTTTTTTGTTTTGTTTTTTAAACAGCACAGGTTCTGCTACACACAGCTAACAACCTTGTGCCTGTTACGCAACGCTCTGGAGCAGTCTGATCCATATAATGATCTTCTTCATGGCCAGAGCTCTCCAGACAGAGATGCCTAAAATTACTAGTTTGTTGCAGAGAACAGTAGGCATCTTAGATTTCAAAGCAAGGACTACAGTAATAAAGCCATCACAGACATATAGTGAAATTCATGTGGCACTTTCCAAGGTTTCATTCCAACTTGCAACATGCACAAGGTAGATTAAAAGATCCAGCTTGGAAGTCAATCTACAAAGATTGACTTTAAATGTAATTTGAATTGATCTATTCCAAATGTTATCATCATGTCCCTTTCTTTTTTGTTTTACTCCAGAAGAATACTTTCAGTTTTACATACGAGTTCTCTCACAAAAGGAAAATGCAATTCATCCTTCCTTTTGCTTCTTTCTCTCCCCAGCTGCTTCGCAGCAGCATGGCCTCTGTCACCATTTTCTCCTGCTACTCACAAGTTCCCAGTTCTCCAGTGTGGCCCAAATTTCATCATTCAGTTTTCAAACACAATTCTGCTTGAACACGGTCTTTGTGTTCTCCAGCACATTTCCTATCCTTACCCATACAGCCAGAGGGAGCACAGTGTCCCCAGCATGCCCTGCAAAATTATTTATCCCAATTTGAGCTACTTGCACTTTTCTACTACAGGGGCTCAGCCTCTCCCAGAATAAGCAACAAAATCCTGGGAAGTTGCTGAACAGTGGCCTACAATTCCAAAAGCTCCCAACAGCTCCAAATCCACTTAAACAGTTTTGTCAGTCTCAATTTCTTCCCTCCCTGCTTCAGCATGAAAAAATCCTGTCTCTTCATGCTTGAGAGGCTTAATATCAGCTTGTTCAATCAGCTGGGTCAACACCATTGCCTGTTAAATCTCACAGCTCCTATATTTCTTCAGCAGGTCCATATCGTTTTCCCAGGAGCAGCACTGGAAGGCTCACTCACCTCCTTGTGGGAATCCTTGTGTGCTTCCAATGTTTTCATGATGGTCAGTTCTGCGTAGTTCTTGAACCTTGCTGGCTGGTTCCGTAAGATCTCCCTCAGGACTCGTAGCGCCAGGGCTCTTATCGAATGCTGTGTCAAGAGAAATCCACATTAGAAAAGGTCACTTCTCAAAACTATAGCTTGAAGTAAATTCTCATGGCTCCCTATGCCACTAGAAATCTTGTGTCACTCTACCAGCTCCAATACAGTGAGCAGTATAATCAATTTAGCTAAAATTCAGAACTGGTCTCCTTGCTTGCTTTTGCACAAAAATTCACGTAAAATGACTGTTGTCACAGATATAAGACGACCAGAATGACTCTACTTTGTTAAACTTCATACTCTTTTGGCAATGAAGTACAAATCTGTACCCAAAGCAACATGTCGGCATTACATGACTCTACAAAGAAGCTCAGATCATATTTGCTTTGCTCTTCCTCCTTTGCTTAGCTTTGCGGATATCTAACTGGGCTACATCCATGCAACAAAGCTGTTTCTCATGTACTAATGCACTAAAATCAACTCTCTTCCTGTAACTCCTATAGAAATTACTTTCAAGAACAGTCAGACATTGTAGTCAATGCTGACCTATGTCTTAATCCTTTATATCAAAAGATCATTAGCAGAAGGGATTTATAACACCTGCTTCGATTTCGTAACTGTTGTATTACGTCTTTGGCCTGTGGCCACTTCAAATAGATTCTATCATTTCAGCAGAGCAATACTTACTTTACTCAGTTCTTAAAGCATGTCTTGTGCTACTGCATGAATTTTGAAAATGAATAGCAAAATTCACATGCACTTAGATAAACCATATCTTCTGACACGTGTGTGATGATGCTATGATTGAACGTGCAGGACTAGAGCAGCTCATGCTTATACTATGGATGACAACTGAGAAAATACCAGCCACCTACACTGCTTCAGAAGTTTCTGAGAGCGTGTCATATATTTTACAAGCATTATAAGAAATACAATGGATACTGAATCAGATGAAACTAAAAGCAAGACTTGTGAGTGCTTTGGTGCTTTGAAGCCTAAATATTGAAACATTCAGATGGAGCATGGCTTTGGCATGAAGGCACAGCAGGGTGCTGACCCTTTACCAAGTATCACTGTGCCACAAGCTGAAAAAATAGCCCCAAGTGGAAAAAGTGTCCATCGAGCCTGTAAATTACCACTTTGATCAACTATCAAATATAAACCTATAATAAGAACACAGCTTTTTTAATACTTCAAAACAAGATCCCCCATAAAAGCAGTTTGTTCTTGATGACATTCTGGAAGAGACAGAGACCCACTCCATGTGATCTAATAGCTTGGTTCTTTAAACCACACAGAGGAGGAAAAAAAAAATCTATTCCAGGTTACCTTTTTTGTCCTTTCTTGGGAATGGTTATGATATAGTTAAGGGTTTGTAACTTCATCCTAACTTGGAAGAGAACAACTTTTGAAATCTTGACAGTTTTCAAACAAGATTAGAAGATAACTCCTCTGATTTGAACTAAACTTCCTAGTTATTTGTTACTAACACTCTGGAAGGAGGAGAAAAACTGGGACACTTCAGAGTAGCTTAAAATTCATCACTGAATATGCTGAAAATGAAAGCAGAGCCGCCAACCTTCAAAAGAAAACATAAGCAGTGCAGCATCACTGAGGAGAAGCTGCACAAACACAGTGGGTTTCATTTCAACCAGTGTGGAGGAACTATCACTCCAGATGAAGCCATGCACAGGAGAATTAAGACAAAAAAAATCTACATCTCACATCTTTGTCTCCAAGCGTTTCCAGCAGCAAGAGCAGAATGGTTTTGAAATGTTCCTCCCAAACTCCAAGATTATCTTCCCTGGTGATCTTTAGCAGTTCCAGGAGAGCTCCTTTCCGCTCCTCCACCCGCTCGTTGTGGTTGGAAAGCTCTTTCAGAAGATCAGCCACCAAATCTGAATGGTCAATGGGTACTTCTAGGACAAATGGCAGCAAATCATTTGGGGAAACAGAAAAAGATCAAAGATGCCAAGATCACTAACCCTCTACAGAACAAAGTGCACCTAACAAAGGGTCCCTCAAAAATGCATCAAGTCCCAGGTGTCCTCAGTCAAGCAGGCAAGGGAATCCAATTAGTCCATAATTTTGCCGGAGTCCATGACACAGCTTATGAATCTGCACATGACTTCTAACGAACCAGGAAGAGATGACAACTGAATTTCATCCAGTTACCATAATTACTTCTACAAGAAGAGAACTGCCAGTTTTTCCCAGGCACACACACCCAAAACGAGCAATCACACGTATGACCTTTAGATCACAGCACAGTGACTCACCAGTGCACTGCAAAAGAATACAGCTAACATACAGCATCACTTAAGTGAAATGTTCAGTAACAACAAGCTACTGAGTGAGATTTTTCAGTCAAAAATTGGAAGGTCAACAAAGCAGTGTTACTACAGATACCTTCCAGACTCTTAAGTGAATAGTTTGAGGGAAACTCCAGGCAAAGAAAAATTCAAATTGCAGTATAACATTTTCTCAGTAACCACAGATCAGGTTCTGCTGGTACATGAGAACACAGTACATATCAAGCCTCAACTGAGGTGCAAAGTAATACACAACAGAAGCACGGGCAGGCATGTATCTGAAAGCACTACCCACACACAAATATACCAGAAACAGAGCAAGCTGCCTGCAGTTTTATGAGCTACACTGATACAAACCATCTCTAAGCTGATCCATGTCATCATCGAACACTGCTTCCTTCAGGGCAGTCTTGTCATAAGTGTTAATTGTGTCAGTGTAAGGATAGGGGTTATATTCTCGAGCACGTGGCCCTGAAAAGGCGCGGGGAGGCTGGGTGTTAAGTAGGGAGGTTTTGTTATCCAGAGCCATCCTTCCGCCTTCCACAACGTCACTGCCTCCACGGACATCACTGGTAGGCACAGCGAGGCCACCATCTCGAGACACCTGAGGGATCAAACAGGCAGAAAAGATATGAGACTACTCAAATTCTGTGGAAACTGTAGCTTTTTTGAGGGTTCACCCATCAATAAGAAGCAGCATAAATAAAATTGGTTACACGCACACATTTGAGTAAGACTTAAATTACCATCTCTTT